CGCCTCTCAGAAAGTAAGAGAAGTAAGCCTCAGAGCAATTCCCCTTTCTAACACTTGGGTCGACAGGGTACCTTGTTTTGGAGTTCCTATAATAAGGATCCTACTATTTAGGGTTATATTAGCGTCCCCTATTTTCGGAAGCCCCCAGATGTACCTGAATTCGCCATCTCTGGCCGCAGTGCTTTGAAAGTCGAGCAAAACATCAGTCACCGACAGACACATGGGACTCGGTTGCCTGGAACCTCGAACCCGAAGGTACGGCAGTGAAAGATCACCGCATGCGGACTCGCACGCGAACGGCTCAGACATGGTGCGAGGATCTAAGAATCGAAGCCCTAAGCCCAGAATGAGTTGGACATACTGTGTGAAGCCGTGCCGGCCTTGTGCGAGTGTGCGAGCCGAAACCCTGAACCACGCCTCTGGCAGCGAGTGGCATCGAGCGAGAAACCCTGAACCCTGAATCCCCCGCTTCTGGCCAGCTTGAGCATGTCGCCTTTGGAACCTTGATTTTCCCGAACCATGGCAGGTCCAAAAGCGCCGCGTCGGGTTCATTGCATCGACAGGAAAATATTACAACGACAAGAACATAGTGAGCACTCACTCATTCCTTCACAGACACTACCGACAACCATCTCTCTCCCTCGATCCTTCCGTCTCCCAAAAGCACTGGCGGTATCAATCTCGCCTTCTCAGTTGTTGACCATGGTGCAGCGAGGGATGATGCACAGGCGTGGCGACTGCTGGCCTGGGTCCCGAATTTTTCCGCACTGCCGAGAAGTGTGTCAATATGACCCGGGCCATCCCCAGCACGGGCCCTGCCCCGTGACGATGCTCCCGAGATCTGTGACAGCGCGATGAAGCACGAGGTGGTGGGGGTGTTGGACAGTTACCCGGGATATTCCAAATCGTTTAGCCTTCAGTGGAACGGACTCGGATGGATGGATCAGAGCCAAGCATTTGCACGGATGTCCAGAAGGCTCTCCTTTGCAAGGTTGCGTCTCCGCGACTTCTGAGCTCTCGCTACATGGAGATCCAGCAGCAGATGTACTCAGGGAGCCAGAGGTCGTTGCAGTTGAAGGTATGGTTCTGGCCATTGTCTGGGAGAGACCGGCATAGTCATAGTCAATGTCCCGAAGGTCACTTTGTCCAATGGAACGTCGGATGCCGAGGCAAGAAGCATCATTCAAAGTGGTTTCGATGTGAGAAGTATTCCTGAAGTTCTCACGGCCTCTTTCCATGGGCGCAGGCTTCTCATTTGTGAGGTTGCTCTCGGCACAGAGGATCAGCATGAGGTAGCTCTAGAGTGCAGTAGTAACTACAGCCATGTGGGCCTTTTGCAGAAGGGCCTGCGCTCCGTCCAGTGTCACAGGAAAGATTTCGGCCAAGAGGAGCGTGTTGTCTACCACCGTATCCAGTGCAAGCCCGGCTACATGTTGGAGACACCGGAGGTGGATCCAGAGCCACGTTGGGCTGAGCATTGCCGTCCAGAGAGTGAGACGAACAGAGGCACAGAGCGGCGCAAGTTCCCCGAGCCATGGATGACCTTTGGTCCAAAGCGATGAGGTGCTAGAAGGAGAGGTGGTGGAGGGTGTTGGACTTTCAAAAAATGGCGATGCCCACGTGCGATTGGCGCTGCAACTTGTGCGGGTGGGTCACGTGTGAGTACCTTCACCTGTGCCCAGAGGGCCATTGACCATGGACGGATTTGCGGTGATCGCTGCTGAGTGTGCTACGAGGAACTGCCAAGTTCGCTGTAAGGGTATGGCCGTGCCAGCAATCTGCCAGCACGGCTTCGACAACCAGTTCTCGCGTGCAGGTGCGGCGTTTGAGGATAACCGTCTCACTGTTTCTGCCGGGGACCCTAGTTTGTGTTACCACAAGATCCACAACATGGGCAACCGGTCCGTGCAGAGCCACAGCGGAGCACATTTCAGGCACGACGAAAGAGTTGTCTATCGCCCCACCCAGTGCGAAGTTGTGTACGTCGTGGAGACAACTGAGACCAGCCCCGGCGGTGAAGTTTGAAGAGGTTTCGACACTTGGCTCTCCGATCTGTCGCGTGACAGGTGAGCAGCAAGTGGGCTGCACTGGCATGCAAGGAACTATGCGAAATCGATCACGCCTACAGCTGCAAAGCATCACTGGTGTAGATCAGTAGAAGCTCGAGGGGAAAATGGCTCAACAAGAGTTTGGCAAGATTGAAGCCGGGGTATCTACCCGGGCATTGCAGGTGCCCAGTGTTACCTTGCCAGGCATTCACATCCCATGTAAGAAGCCCGTTATACATCGGCGTCCCGCGGGTAGACTCGGGTAGACTTACCCCTGTAACTGGTCCGTTTCTGTCACCGGGTTTCTCCGCAGGCAGTGCATGTTTGGTTGGTTTCAGGGCGGCTGATGGAACCTAGAACTGTAAAATATAAATATAAACGTTGTCAACTAAACTGACTCGAACCCCAACCGACGCAGCGCCAAGAACCTCCGCTGCAATGTTCGAGAGCGATGGCCGCAACCTTCCAAACGCTCAGCCAAGAAGATCTTGCCTCTCAGGACTCGTGGCCCCATGCACCCTTCTACGATCCGAAAGCAGATCCCATCAGCCGGTTCGCGCCACAGATGCTTTTTTGGTGGATGTGTGACCACTTCTATGGGGTCTTCTCCAAGACTGGGATCTTCCTGTGTTGATTGTAAAGGTCTGTCTGGGACTCTCCATGGGGGATGAATAGGGTTGCATCAAGGGTCCCATAAACCTGAAAGGCACTTCCGGACGCGGACGACATCGGACAATGAAAACTGACCCGTCGACGCTCCAAGGCTGTCGTACTGGCTGCAACTTGCAGACCACTTTCGGTACCCCAGCGTCGTGCACTTTGCATCTTTGCCGGAGGTGATTGAGAAGGCTCCTGCTTTAGGTGGCGACCCAATCCCATCTAAGCCCAAAATCCAAATCCTAAGTAAACCCATCTAAACCCTACATCTAAACCCTAAACCCATGTAACTCCAATGTGTGTCTATGTCCCCTAGAGGATGTTGTCATCCAAGCGTCGTCAGGGCGCGTAGATTCGCCGGAGTAGAGTGAGTACAAGTAGGATCGCATCTGATAACTTGAGACATCCCTGCCTCTATCGTTGTGTGGTCTTGTATACTAAGTATACTAATTCATAACCTTTACCCTGGTTCCTGACCCCTAATTTATGTTTACGAGTTTGCCCAAACTCCTCAACTAGGCAATGTTGTAATATCTTGTATATGTACTCAGGAGGTCGGGCGGGCAAAACAAGGGACGCCTCTCTTAGCAGGGCTTTACTATGGGTGTTGCTATGTTTGCCGTCTCCAGCTTCTGTGTTCAGATAGTTTCACCACAGCCCACTTCAGACCACGAGCCTCGCCTCCATTGTCCGAGTGTGTGAGAGCCGAAACCCATGTAAAACCCTAAGTCTAAACCCTAAACCCATCGAAACCCTAAATCTAAACTTGCGCCCTAAACCCACTTTAACCCTAAATCTACGCTTAAACCCTAAGCCCACTTACAACCGAAAATCTAAGCCCGAAACCCTGGAATGCGGGCTCGTCCTCGCTAGGTGGGAGGGAAAAACACCCCGAAACCCTAGGACTTGGGAGGCCTAGGGCTCCGTGCGTTGAAGGCCATCGGTGAGGACTGGGCCAAAATCAGCGTTCAGACGCCTTCTCCTCAGGGCACCTATGGCTGTCCTGCGCATGTGGGGATCTTATAGTTTAGGAGTTTAGGGATTCGGCTCTCACTCTCGCACGAGGCAAGGCTAGGAGTTTAAAGCTTTAGGATTTAGGGTTGCTGCATTGATCCAGGGGCGGCTGAAACTGGCTAGACTTGAGCACAGCGGGACAAGGGGTTGCTACCAGTAGTCTCTCTTTGCTTGATATGTCCCCCTCGGACACTAGCGATGCTGGCACCAGCCGTGCGAGAGTCAGAAGGTCTGTCTCCTTATTGCCAGGTGTTCGACCGAATCCCGCTCCCTCAAACCTAAAGGTGGCAGTGGTTTTCGGAGTATGTTGTTTTTTTGTTTGGGGCGTGTGTTCGCTCTCGGGTTCATGGATTAGGGCTCATAGAGCTTTGGGTTTATTGATCGTTTCCCCACTAGTTTCCCCTGTCCAGCCTCGGTCCCCGCAGTGTGACTTGGTCAGCTAGGCGGGTGGCAGCAAGAAGTTTGTTTGACCAGCTCAGACCAGCCGTTCAATAATGTAGGGACCGGAATGACTATAGAGACAATGTTGACTATACTCCCCCATACAACTATAGATATTTTTACCCTGAAACCCCATGCGAATTTTTAAGGCCCCTTTATGATCATGATTCCCTGCACAAGCGGGCATAGGAGAGGCAGCTCTTGCATGGAAGGGGGCGAACTGAGCACAGTAAGCTAGTTTAGGGGCTCTGAATAACAGCAACACTAATAGTCAGATATCTTAGAGTCACTCAGTTATATATGGGCACTCTAAGGGGATGCCATTCGTAAGTATTCCGACCCCTGCCTAAGGCGTGCGCACCATCGACGAGTCATGTCCCAGAGCGAAGCGCCGGGGTCTTGATCAGCGACGTTTCGGTGCTTTCCTTCTGTTGCATATCTGGAAGCCGGGTCCTCCGACCTGAACCTTCCCGCCGTCACAGTAGAACAGCAACACTAAGATTTACTAGTAACCACGGCTACATCGGCTTCAGTGTGTTAGCGACGTCGAGTCGATGGCCAGCAAGTTGCAGCCTCCGCAGCCTTAAAGAAAATGCGGCCGCTGCAGCCACTTTCTCCCGAGTTTCGGGGGAAGGGGACGGGAGGGGTGAGGCTGTTGAGACAGAAGCACAGAGTGCTTCCGTGCTTTCAAGGGTCTCAGGCGTGCAGGGAGCCATAATCATAGTCTCTACTGATGAAATTTGTGCTCACCTAAGCAAAGTAGAGCAACAGAATGGATGGGTGCGTAAGTCGTCGTTTTTGTGCGATGAGGCCTTTGGGTTGTCCGCAAGTTATTAGAGGATGCTCCGCACGCGGATGATGGGCAAAGTCCCGGAAATGCTACATGTCCGAATGATGGCATCGGGAGAAGAGGTGGACGCGAGAGGTTTCAAGACAATTAGCGTTCGCCAGAAGCCGGGTCTGTTCTCCGTCTGGCTTTGCTATGTTTACTGGGCTTGATCGCTCTTGGCCCTAAACCCGAAACCCAAAACCCTTTAAACCTCAAACCCTATACCCTAAACCCTGCAGGTCGTTGCTCTTTCTGTTGACGAGTTCGACACTCTTGCTGGGTCAGCGCAAAGGTCGGTACGAGTTCTGTTGCTTGGCTTGGCTTATTGTGTATCAGTTATTATTAGCAATAATCATAGTAGTAAATAATGCTTTTTAGTCTAATCAAATGAGATGAACCTTCGGGTGCAGATGTGAAGGCCGTGATTTCTGGAGGTATTAAACATTGCGTCATCTACGGGAAAGGGCAGCACCGTTCCATGGCAGGATTTGAACCTCGACCCTCCGAAAGGCAGCAAAACCTCGTTCCTCAGTGAAGGTTTCTGTGGAGGGCAACTGAATCTGGAGAAAAGGAGCTCAACAGAAAAAGAAGCCTTAACCATACTATTTCCGAAACCTCCGAGCCAACACCAGGAAAGAGCACCTGGCGAGGGTAACGGGATGTCCGCGCTTTCGCCTTCGTGTGCTGCACAAGGGCTCCATTGTGCAGGACGAGACGCGCTTGGACCTCCCCGTTTCCCTGTCGCTCGTAAAGCTGAGCTTTGAAGATCCGGAGATGGCGAACTTGGAAGAGGTTCGAATCCCGAAACCCTGAACCCAGCTAAACCCTCAACCCCTCACCCTAGCCGTAGCCCCTAAACGCTAACCCTAAATTCGAAAAATCTACAAAGAGGTCGGGCACGCAGCTTCCATGGACGATGCAGTTACTGTGGAAGCCTTTCTCCAGAGGCCTCAACACCCTGATTTGGCAATTGAGCGGGGTCTCACTTGTTTGGGTTTCGCTGCTCGAAGTGGTCAGTTGAAGTCTGCAAAGTTGCTTCTTGAAGCCAGGGCGGATGTAAACAAAAGCGACGAGCAAGGCATTACACCGTTGCATTTGGCATCGGCTGAGGGTCACAAGAAAGTTGTGCGATGGCTCCTCAAGAACTGTGCCAATGTGGCTGCTACTACTGCCCAGGGTGACTCGGCCTTGCACTTTGCGTGCGATATGGGCCAACGGAAAATCGTGCGCATATTGCTGGAGGCAAGAGCAGATACTCAGCAGCAGGAATCTCGAGACGGTGCCACACCCTTGCACTGTGCGTGCCTGTCGGGCCAGGTGAAAGTCGTGGAATTGCTGCTGAGTGCATCTGCAGATGTACATAAACAGACACAGCGGGGTGCAACGCCAGTACACTGGGCGTGCCACCACGGCCACGTGGATGTTGCACGTGCGTTGGTTTGGTCCAGAGCTGATGTAAACCACGCCAGTGCAACCGGAGCAACACCTCTCTACTGTACCTGCGATTTAGGACACGTGGAAATGGCCCGGTTCTTGATTCAAGCAGATGCTGATATACATCGTGACACAGCCAATGGCATGACCCCGCTCTTCGTCTCAAGTATGCTGGGGCACACAGAGATAGTGCGTATACTGGTGAAGGCCGGTGCGGACATGAAACAGGCCACAGCCGGACAGATACCGCTGCATATCGCATGCATCAATGGACATGTAGACATCGTCCGGATCTTCCTGAAAGGCCAAGGCCGCCGACCATGGCCAGCTGAAGCTCCTTTCCATTCGGACACTTCCCTCCTCAAAGCCTTACATCTCTCCTGTGCCTTTGGACATGTGGAAGTCCTGAAGCTCTTGATTGGCACCGTAGATGTGGATGGCTTGGATCGGCACGGCATGTCCCTGTTGCATCATGCCTGCGCTCTGGGCCGAGCTGAAGTTGTCCGCTGCTGTCTTCGGGCTGGCGCTGGCGTTGATGTGCAAACATCGGGTGGGACGACACCCTTACAAGTTGCGTGCGTCGCAGGCTACGTGAAAATCGCAGAGCTGCTGATTCAGCACGGGGCTAGAACAGACCTTTCCGATCGGCTGGGCATGACGCCACTGCTGGTTTCTTGCCACACTTTGCAGGTCGAACTCGCAAAACTTCTGTTGGACAACGGTGCGGCAACTGACAAACCCGCCACGGATGGTGTTTTGCCACTGCATGTGGCCTTTATCCATGGACACGAAGAGCTTGCCCACTTGCTGATACAAAAGAAAGCCAATTTGGACGCGTCCACAGAGGACGGCCAGACGGCGTTCCTGGGGTGGCAATGAGCCATAAATGTCTAGTTTTCCTTGTGGTCTTTGTAGAGATAATTTCTAGCCACCTTTTCAAAAGTGGTTGGAATAACCTTCAACTTCATTGAAGGCCGTAAATCCTGCGTAAGCTGGGGAAGTTGAAGCCCCTAATCCCTAGACCCTCTAACATAGGGGTCTTAATGCTAGAATAAGGTTTCATAAAGTCTGAAGACCTGATGATATATAGCTATGGTAGGGACTATAAGTGTGTGACATTGGTAGTTAGTGGACTAAGCCTTTGCAACCCAGGCTGTGCATTGCTCGGTTTCACGGCCACTGGGGCGTCGTACGTTTGCTCATTCAGGCTGGTGCTGTTGAAACGCGACAGCCGAAAAGGCGACGCAGGACTAAAGGTCCTTAATTCAATTCGATTAGAGATTACCATTGGCTTTAAGGTTCAGGCGCTATCTTACCGTTTCACAGTGCAGGCTGTATTTTGATACTATAGATGTTTCTTTATATGCTCACCGCACTATGCATGATACAGTGCTGTGGGAGCTTATTGCGAGACTATGACTATACTTAAACATGGGTTCAAGCTGGCTGGTGTTTTGCGGCTCTGCAGCCGCTGTTGTCCTCCGCTGCCATCAGCCTGGACGCGCGCCAGAGAAAAAGGCACATGCTGCTCCCCAAGTGGCATGGCCAGATCGGTAATGTATGGTCGCCGTCTGCCTGGTTTCCACAAGGCAACCATACGTACAAGATGTTGGTTCGAGATGTCTAGACATAAGACACAAAGCCAAGATGTCGTCACATCCGCATCAGAGCACAGCACTCTTCACCATCTTGCTCCCAGCATCTTCGCACCTAGCAGATCTTCAGCCCTCGTCAGGCACCGCCACAGCGTTAAATTGAAGTTCTCTGGTGGGTTGGGGAAGCACTTGGAAGACCAGTTTCAAGCCTCTTGGATGATGGAGGCTCTTCTCTTTAGGAGCGCGGCACTCAACACTTAAAGCCCTCGATTCACTGGCCTGTGGGGTGTCGAAGACCGAACAGTTTAGGGTTTAGGATTTGCGAATGAAGCCTGCTGTGGGCTGCTGGCCAAGGTTCTACGCACACAGCCTGCTGCAGCTGCTCGGAGAAAAGGGTGCTTTTGTGCCACCATCTGCATTTTCGATTGATGATGTCTCGTGTGTTGTCTTTTGCGTTGAGTGTTTTCCGTGCCACCATTGCGTAGCTGTCTTTTCGATTGGTTTTACATGTTGTTTGTTGCTGGTCTTGGTGGAAGGCACTGTGTTCGGCTGCACTCTGCTGCATGGAGTAAATTTGCCGCAGATTGCAGAAGCGGCAGCTAGGGTCACGAAAATCTCATTCAGCTCGAGCTGTCTACCTGATAGTGTTGGAATCCGATTTTAGGAACGAAAGCCTCGCTATCAAGGTCAAAGCTTGCTCGGTCGCTGAACTTTCGAGTAAACGTAGTTCGTTTATCGGATCTGGGTGGTACGGCCGTGGTAGGCATGGCATTGAATAGCTGAAAGACACATCCGCGTGATTGAGTTTGTCAGCGTCTGGGCGGCGTGCTTCTTGTCAGGGCCCCGGGCGTATCAGCTCATGCGGGCTGTTGAGAGGTACGTTCCGCTTGCTTGTGATCTGTTCAATCTGGGCAAACATGGAGACAAGGGCCCGGCACATTATGATGGTGTCCCTATTAAGCATTAGCAGTCACTATAGTCCAGACGCAAGATTCCCAAGGGTGGACCCTCCCCTTCTTAAACCCTGACCCATCCTTTCATCCAATTAGAGTAGCGAGCAACACTCCTTCTTCACATACCCCTACATGAGACAGACAGATGGGTAGATGGCTCGGGTGCCTATACGCCCCTAAGCCCTGCACCCCGAGACCTGTGCGAGTGTGTGAACCCCTTACCCCATGCCCCTGAACCCTTGCAGTAGCCCTCAGGGGCCGGACTCCCCAGTTCTACGGCAGTGTAGCCCTAAGCTTCGGTGCCGCTCTCGGCTCGGATCTCTACTGGTCTCAGCATCGCAGCCACCGCACCAACGCGAGGTGCTCGGGGGTTTGGAGGTCTAAGCAGTTCAGGAGGTTCGGGGATCGAAAGATCTGAGGTGGGCTATAAGGGATTCAGAAGATTGGTGTTGCTGAAGATTTGCGGATGTTGTGAATCCGGATACTCGGGTGATGTTTGGTATACAATTATACAAAAGCTGAACACTTGCTGCATCTCAGGAAAAAGCAAAACCCATGCTGATGGAATCACGTCGTTCACAAGGCTCCTGCTGCGTTGGGATAGATTTAGATATATGGTTGTACCTCCTGCGGTACATGCCCCCAGGGCTTTGTCTGCAGGCTTTCCTGAGATTTCGATTCCACAGTAAAGACTTCTTATGAAACGAGGGTCTGAGGGTGGCTCGTGTTAGGTTGATAGTGCATCTCGATGTTTCGATCAGCCAGATGCCGCCACCGGCTGCAGTGACAGCTCCAATTCTGAGAGGGCACCGGCTGTGGGATTTTAGGGTTTGTGCACGGGGTTGTCCATTGTAGAAGTTGTAATGATACTACAAGAAGCGGAAGCAGTGCGGATGCTAAACTCAATGGCTGGTTGTGATATACGTACTGTAAGAGCAGAAGCAGAAAGAGCAAGAGGAAGCAGCAGTTTTGTGCGGCTGGTAAACATAATCTTGGGGGCTATAGACTAGTTGTAAGAATGCTTGAGTATCAGTAAACTATGTAGTGAGCTCGCAGTCATAAAAGTAGTCATGAAATCGCTGTCGTCCGCGGAGTAGCTGACCTGTAATGACTTGGTTGAAACCGGGCGACTGGCGAGTTCTGGCACACGAGGCGGCAGCTGACCGCCTGACACAAAACCAGTACGACCTGGAGATCTTCCCGCGCTTCCTGGCTGAAAATTAGGGTGAGTAGCTAGAGTCGGCCGTTCAGGACCCGAAAGGCTGATGTAGGGCTGGAAGTTGTGCGGCGAGATCATCGTAGCTCAGACCCGGATGCTTTGAGCCCGGCAGTTGCTTCTTTGCGGCAGCAGTCGTAAATTCGTCAGGTTGGGTGTCGCACAAGTTTGGCTCGAGACTTGACAACACAGGGCTGTGTTCCAAGCCATGCCGATGCCGGCACAGCTTTCGGAGGAGGAGTCCGTTGCGGCTTCATCGCATTCGCAGCGCTTCGAGCACACCAACGCAAGCAGCTACAAGTATGAGCACACCGGGGCCAGCACTCTCAAGAAGGCACATTCCTGCCTCTCTCAAGGCACGACGGCACTGACGGGATTAACCCCCGACAACAAAAGCGTAGTGTCAGAGTCGCATGCTTCAGTTCCGGAGCTCAATGCCGTCAAGGCCGATGTTGAGAATGCCTTGCCCTGTGGCGAAGCAGTCAGCATCTGGACGCGGTCGACCATTGGGATTGTGTTGAATGGATTCCTTCTTGCCTTCTTGAGTGCCACCTGCAGTGGTGTTATCTACGGCTTCTTTCTGGGCTACATGGGCTTAGAATCCTATGTCCTGGCATCCATTGCAGCACTCATGAAGCTTCCGGATGTCTTCCCCTTACCTTATGGGATTCTCACCGACTGCTTTCCCATCCGTGGGCAGAAGAGGAAGCCTTGGCTCTTGATTTCTTGGGCCATCTCGGCCGGTGCACTCCTTACAATGTGCCTGAAGCCCCAACCTGGCCCCTTCTACTGCTTCGAGAACGGGGAGTACAACTGGTATGTGCCACCCTGCAACCCTGGGATCCTGAAAGAGAAGAATTGGTACGTCTTCCCGATGTTCATCTTGACAGCTGGTCTCCAGCTAGGCAGCGTCTCGGGTCAGGCCCTGCTTTTGGAGTACTCACAGCTTGAGCCGCTGGAGCGTCGTGGGCAGATCAAGGCGGAGATGACCATGGTGTGCACGGCAGGGTCCCTGGCTTCCTCTCTGTTTATTGGCATCTTCATGAACAGCAAGGAATACTTGGGTACCTTCGACTGGGGCTTGTCCTTCAGTGGTCTGATGGCTGTTTGCCTGGTCCTGGTCATCTTGATCATCCCTGTGACTGTCATGTGTGTGTATGAGCCTCCCAAATCAGGGCAACGGACATCGTGCCGCGCTCATGTCATGTCTTCTTGGGAGCTCGTGCAGGGGAAGGCACTCTCGAGCCTTCTTTTCTTCGCCTTCTTTGTCCAGCTGTTGGTCTCCATGACGACGACCGCCGGACCAATGGTCCGGAGCCAGTGGGCGCATGTGAAAGTTCTGCAGCAGCAGATGTTTGGCATGGCTGGTCTGGGCATCATGATGGCGGCCACCTGGGTCTACAGAGTGTACTTTCTTCAGGCAAGCTGGAGAAAAGCCATCTTTGTAGCGATCTTCGCAGTGAACGTGCTCGATGCCATCCCGCAATTCCTCACGACTTTTGATTTGGTGCGGAACCAGTACTTCTACCTGGGCGAAGACGTCGTGAGCTCCATTCCCAACGCCGTCTTGCAATTAGTCTCGAACCTGATGATCATCGAGCTCGCCGAGCCGGGCCGGGAGGGTCTCTCTTATGGCTTGATCGGAACTTTGCAGCAATCCGCTTTGCCCTTTGCCACGGTGCTCAGCAACCAGGTCTATGAGCTTTTCGACCCGAAGCTCTCGAACCTTGAGAACTACATCCTGGACACTCCTCAGTTTCGCTCGACCGTCGCATGGTCCTATGTGTTGACCTACACCACCTCGTTCCTTGCCTTGGCATTGCTCCCGATGATTCCATGGCAAAAGGCCGAGGCTCATAGGCGGAAGAAGGAGTGGAGCTCCAATTCCGTCATGGCAGCCATTGTCCTTGTGATCCCGGCCCTCTGCTTGACCTACGGAATCATTGTCTTGCTGCTCACAAGCCAGCCTGAGACAGCTTGCCTTCGTTGGGTGGGAGGCCAGGGCTGCGAGACTCCAAGTTGAACAAATCAAGACAAAAAGCTCGAGGAGCTTCACGTCTAGAGCTATTCTAGCCTGTTTGAAATCCTGTGCGCCTCCCCAATCTTCAAGGAAGATGAGGCCGAGGTGAATTCGACCCCGGTGCCCTCGGTTTTCGAGGCCAGGGCTTCTCCGGCGCATTTGCATTTCCAGGAGATCCAGCTCGGGCTTTTTTTTATGCAGGAGCCTTAGTAATCAGAATAGAGTTTATAGGGGTCTATTGTACTGAAAATCTAATAAGGAACCCGCCCCCCAAAAAAAAGTATAGGTAAGTATTAAGGGCCCTATGTTACGGAGGTCTTATGGTGGGATAGCACAGGCCTGGAGGGCCTAGAAGTTGAAAGCCGACATCCCCGACTGGAAACATTTTTTCGAGGCAGTTCCCTGGGAGTCTTGAGACATGCTTGTGTGACTGAGTTCCGGCAGGTTCTGGAATATGCAGGTATCGTGGGTTTTAAGCAACAGTCCCGGGGAGCTTAGCTGTGAACGGTCGCATGCCAGGGCTATCTTCACAAGGAAGCTAGCTCGGAGCATCCGATCGAAGTGCACCTCGAAGACGCATGACGAATCATCGAAGGTGGTGCACGGTGCAAGTCCTTGAGCTCATCATGTGCAACAGCCACATCTTAGAGCCAAGTGCTCCGCACCCCTTCAGGGAGCATTGCAAAGTCCCAGTTGTAAGAATCCGTGGGTCGTTTCCACAGGCCTGCTTTGCTAGGGTTGCACATCTTCCTCTGCAATGCGCCCTGGATATCTTTAGCAACGTTTGTACCTTCCGAGCCAGCGCATCCGGAGGACTCCCCATGCGGAGTTCAGGGTCCAAGGGATCTTTCCCGCATCCGACTTCGTATCCGTAGATCGCAGTCTTTTGCTTTGGAATAGTGGTACTAGTATCCTAGATGATTTTCCACTAATTACCGGTTGCCCTGTAGTTTACTGGGCCCTTCAGCTGCATCTCCATCTTCGGGGCATTCTTGTAGGGATCCTGAACTCCGGAAGTTCTGGGCCCCGATTCTTGGCTGCTGTGCTCGAGAAGCTCAATCGTATGGTCACCTCTCCGTCTTTCGAGCTGGGGTTGTCCTGAAATCGCTGAGCATGTGCCATGCTGTTCTGAGTGCACTCGTCCTATCAAGGTACAGCACTGTTAATCTAGACCGGGTCTTTGGCGTGTTTCGTTGGCTGGCGGCATCTCGCGCACGCGGGTTGCCAAGCATTCGCCGATTCAAGCATCCCAGCAGCAAGAGGAAAAAGCTGCTACCCTGGAGAGATGCTGGCATTTGTCGATATACTTGACCGAGATGTGGTGCGTTTAGATATGTTGAACTGTTGTGATCTAGCGAAGGTTCGCCCACAGGGCTGCAGCTAACGATTCCGCCCCCATGCGCTACGCAGCGTCACGAGCTGCCAGGACTACGGCGAGTCATCAGATTTATGGAGTCTGTGAGCACCTTCCAGTTTGGTGTGATTTTGTGTCTCGCACCGTAGTGGGGCTTACCATGCTGAGCCACCGCAGCGTGTCAACAAAAAGAACACATTCTCCTACATTGAACCGTAGATCTGAATCAGTAGAGTGCGTGTCAGCTTTTCACAGGAGTGGCCTGGGCCTTCGTGCTGTCCGATGTCCTCTCCGCCCAGGACAACGAACCGGTCTGACGTGCAAACGTCTAATGAAGTCAAGGATTTCAGGGCGGAGGCTTCTTGTGTGGAACATTTGCATCCCCGGATGTAGACCCGCTCACAGCCACCCAAAAGAACAAGGAGCCTGAGTTCTGCCTTCTTGAAAACATCAACGCTCGTTTGCAACCTCGCGGGCAAGATGGTGATGCTGATCTTTTGGTGCTGATTCTACTTTCGTCCCTGCGGTATGGTCACAAACCAAGCATTCGGTATTTCGAACAGCTCTCAGGTGGCTCTTTCTTGCAGTGCGAACCTTTGAGCGAGGCGTTCGTCATTTCTTGATGGAGGCCTGCTATGCATTTTTCTGTCACTCAGCGGAGGGGCCAGCATGGTCTGCATTAGGTCTGAGCTTGAATGGACTGACATTGGTGGGCTGGGACAACGGTGGCTTGACAGATGTGCTTGATGCAGGGAATTGTGATCTGCGATTCTTCCGATCCGGTTCCTGTGGCAGTCTGGCGTCACGATTTTGACAGCCCCAGATTACGGAGATGCACACCGCATCATCAGAGATGCCAATGGCCTGCTTGGATTACGAAAGGCTGAATGTGGAGGCAGCGACGTTTCATTTTCCGTCTCAGACCACAGCTGCAGTGCAACTGTTTGCTTTGCTGTGGACTGGACTATACTGGACTTCAGATGGCCGTACGGACTTGCTGTATGTTATGTCAATGCAGAAAGTGCGAAGCTTATGCTTTGGACGCAGCTGGCGAACAGTATCGCGGAAGCGTTCAGCGCAGAGTCACCTGCGCTGAGGGCACATGTCCAGCTGGTTCATTCCAACCTCGCCGTCAGACAGAAAATGGCTTGGCGGCCTATCGATGCAAAGTCTGTTCGAACGGTTCGGTGAGCTTTGGTGGGTGCTGTGCCTCGTGTTCTCTTTGCCATTGCAGATGAGTTCTGCAAGCACATCTGGAACCCCGGAGCAACTCTCCTTGTGAACCCCTACCCCTAGATGAGGCCCTAGATAGATAGACAGATGGGTAGATGCCTCGACATTCAGTGTATCCCTGAACCCTTGCAGTAGCCCTCAGGGGCCGGACTCCCCAGTTCTACGGCAGCGTAGCCCTAATTTTTTCTGCGCCGCTCTCGGCTCGGGTCTCTCCTGGTCTCAGCATCGCAGCCACCGAACCAACGCGAGGTGCTCGGGTTGGAGGTCTAAGCAGTTCAGGAGGTTCGGGGATCGAAAGATCCAAGTTGGTTGGGGCTTTAGGCATGCAAGCTGCGAGCTCTTAATGCCTAAACCTCAAACCCTAACTGCGCCCACAGTGTCCGAGTTGCGAGAGAGTCCCACTGAGGACCTTCATGACGAGAGCCCTCCTCTTCCCAGTGCTGGTAAAAGCCCGCGGCCTAGCAGGGAAACGTGCAGCCGATTTGGACCTCCACATCGAACTTGCAAGACGCAGGCCTTGGGTTGCGTCGACGAAAGCGCAGCTGTCGCTGGAGCATGTGTCGAGACCGAGGCTGCGTTCTTGTAAGGCTCCATGTTTGGGGAAGTGGGGTGAGCTTCTCAAGAAATGCTGCTGCATTGTGTGCGGCAAAGTCCATCTATGCAAGGGGAGCCCGATAGATGGCTAGAACGTTGAAGCAGCTTTGTGCAGCCATTTGGCTTGCTTGCACTAGGAAAGGCATAGTGACTTCAAATTCTGTGGAATTCGCTTGTCAAGTCGCATGTCAGTGGGTCAACATCTTATCATGGGACCTTGGCCGCCATGGCCTGTTTTCATTTGGGCATGTGTGCAAAGACTTGGGGCAGGGAGGCAAATTGACAATCCTTCAGAGCAGTGCCTCTCTGCAGATCGAGGTGCCTGTGTTGGGCGACTGCATGCGGTGAAGGGTCCGAAGATCTACGACACCACTGACACAGCTTATTTGGTAGACCTTGACCTAGACGGGCTGGTGGATGTGACGGATGTCGATGATGATGGACAGGTCTTGTTTCAAAAACGGTTGCCCAATAGAAGTCTGCATGAGCCGCAGCCGGTGGCACATATTGGAGGTGAATACACCAGTTCCGGTGTATGGGGTAGGCAATTACAGGCTGTTGACTGGGATGGTGATGGCGATCTGGACCTTTTCGTGTTTAACTCTGATGGAGCTGGACGCTCCTCGTATTTCGAGCAGGTTGCCAACGCCAGTGGCTCTTCCTACAACAAGCTGCCATTTCAGTCTAGAACTGGGCAGCAGAACCCCGTAAGGTCAGTCAAGAGCATTTTGCCGGTCCAGGTGCTTGACTGGGACCAAGATGGTGATTTTGACATCTTGTTCTGCAAAGCCAGGTGTGGCGAGCTGAATGTAGACCCGCTCTCGGCCACCCAAAAGAACAAGGAGCCTGAGTTCGGCTTTCTTGAAAACATCAACGGTCGTTTGGAGCCGCGCGTAGGGAATGATAACCCGCTTGCAGGCTTTCGGACAACAGTCCCAGTCATTTCCATTCATGCTGCTGACTGGGATCAAGATGGTGATGCTGATCTGTTGGTGCTGACTCTACTCTCGTCCCGGCTGTATGGTCACACAGCACGCATTCTGTATTTCGAACAGCTCTCAGGTGGCTCTTTCTTGCAGCGCGAACCCCTGGGCGAGGTCTTCGTCATTTCTTGGTGGAGGCCTGCCATGCAAGTCATCGACTGGGATCATGATGGGATCCTGGACCTTCGCTACACATTTTCCGTCACCAAGCGAAGCCTCGTCGAAACACTTTTACCTTGGAACGGGGCCAGCATGCTCTCTACGTTAGGTCTGAGCTTGAATGGATTGACATACGTGGACTGGGACAACGATGGCTTGACAGATGTGCTTGACGCAGGTAATGGTGATCTGCGATTCTTCCGATCTGGTTCCGATGGCAGTCTGGCTTATTTTCCAGAACAGTTCCCACAGGTATATGTGGACAGCGACACAATTTTGACAGCCGCGGATTGGGATGGTGATGGAGATGCAGACCTCATTACCAGAGATGCCAATGGGCTGCTGAGATATTATGAAAGGCTGAATGAGAAGTACGTCCCATCCCTGGTGGAGGCAGCGACGCTGCGCTTTCCGTCTCAGACCATAGCTGCAGTGCAACTCTTTGCTGTGGACTGGACTTCAGATGGGCGTACGGACTTGCTGTATGTCAATGCAGAAACTGCGAAGCTTGTGCTTTGGGAGCAGCTGGCGAACGGTACCCTGGCAGATCGCGGAAGCGTTGCGATACCCCGTCCCGCCAATGAAGGTGACTTCGGAGAGATCCAGGCACTCGCTATTGTGGATTACAACAACGATGGCCAGCTTGATGTGGTGGCGCAGCAGAAAATCAATTTCTTTTCGCAAGAGGGACATGTGGTCCTCTTTGAACGCAATGGCAGCGACCAGTTGATGAATTCTCGCCAGTTGTTCCCATACCCACGCTACATATATCGGAGTTCTCTCCATGTAGTTCCCTGGGGAGTGAGCCAGCAGCTTCATATCATCATAGATCATGAGATGTGGAGCGCAGGCTTCTGCATCAAGCCGGGCGCATGTGCAGATCACGGAGTTTGCTCTCCTAGTGGTTGCAAGTGTGCGGCCGCGTATCAGGGTGCGAGAGATTGCTCCCGATGCAGTGCTAATCATTACGCGCCTGCTAGAGCATTCGGGGCCAATTTTCAGTGCCTCCGGTGCGCAGGAGATGAGCAGGTATGTGCAGCTCGTGGAGTTTGCGAGGACGACTACAAGAAAGCAAAGAAAGCTCGTGATTCTGGCTCCAATGTATCTGCCGTTCTAGTGAGCGGAAATGGCTCTTGCCAGTGCAGTGAGGTTTTCTTCCACGGTGCTGATGAGCTGGGCAGAGTCACCTGCGCTGAGGGCACATGTCCAGCAGGTTCAATCCAAGCACGCCGTGACACAGAAGATAGCTCGGCGGTCTATCGATGCGAAGTCTGTTCGAACGGTTCGGTGAGCTTTGGTGGGCGCTGCGCTTCATGTTCTCCAGGTAGAACTAGTAGGGGGAACGAGTGTGTTGCGTGTGAGGCTGGCCGCTTTGCCATTGCGGCAGCTGCGACAGCTTGTGCGAAGTGCCCCGCAGGAACATGGTCCTGGGAGGGCCAAACAAGATGTGCCGTCTGCACCCCCGGCAAGGCAGCTGAGAGCGGAAGCTCTCAGTGTACTGTTTGCCAAGCTGGTCGATTTGCCGCTTCAGAGGCTGCAACAGAGTGTGCGGAGTGCCCTGCAGGCAAGTCGGCGATAGCCGCTCAGAGTGCGTGCACACCCTGTTCGTCTGGTGCTGTTGCCGGTCCTGGAAGTGAGTTCTGTGAGCAATGTGCCAGCATGCTATGGAAGATGACATCCGTGGATCACCAGCATTGCCGAGTTGATTTGAGCGGCTTAGCCTACCTTGCGCTCTTCACGCTCAGCGCTCTGGGCTTCTGCTATCTCCTGATCACCAGCTTCACATTTCAGTTGGACATCGTGGACCTGTCTTCCATCAAGGGGGCATCCATCGTAGCCACGCAGCAGAACCACAGGCTTTTGCATTGGAGTTGGGCCCAGCCTTCTGTGCGCCTGAAAAACACTGGACTGCATGAGCTGGAGGCAGCAGGAGTGTCACACCAAGTGAAAGCCAAGGCTGGGAAGAGCTTGGAACTCTCCTTTAGCAACGATGCAGAGAAGGCTTTGGGCCTTTGCGGCAGCACATCAATGGGAGTGCTGCAACTAAGCTGTTGTTCCTTCTGGTTGTGCACAGGCTGGCTTGGAGTACCCTTCTGTGTGTGGCAGCTCATTTTGTTTGGTGTCAGCCTTTTTGCAAGTTCCAGGGTGCAGCCCTTGATGCGTTGCGTGGTTCCGGGGCTGTTGTTGATCTTCGTGGCAGCTGCCATTGCTTGGAGACGGGCATCCCCAAAGACTCCCATTGATCAGGCCCACAGGCATTTCGCAAGGCAGCTTCTCGAAGACCCCAGCGGTGTGAGCGCGGAGCTGCACGTGCTCTACGGTTGGACCAGCTGCGAGAGTTCTACGATTTTTTCAATGCATTTATCCTGGACCGATCCATGTACTATGTGTGCTCCAATTTGGTGATTCCGTTGACAAAGCCCTGGAAGCTCTCATATGCGGAACTGGCCGGGCCTAGCGAAGTGATGTGGTTTGTCAGCCACTACTGGGGCATGGGATTACGGCATACTTTGGAGACCCTCACGCTGCATTCACGCACACAGAAGTGCGCTGCTGACGCGGCAAGCTACTGGATTTGCACATTCAGCAACAATCAGTGGCAGGTGGTCGAAGAGCTTGGGGGCGGAGATTGGAGAGACTCTTGGACCTGCAGCAGTGGTTCCAAAAGCTCGCAGGATGCACTAGGAACGACATTGGCTTGGCAAGGGGTCACAGAATTCTTGTGAAAGGAGTCAGCAGTCTATCGCTCAGGAGTCTTCGTTCTTCAAGGCGTTGCGGAGCCGAGCCTGCAAGGGGACGCTGATGATCATCGACGAGGAGGTCTTGCCGCTTCAACGAGCCTTTTAGCTTCAAGAGCGGGGTCTTACCAAACTCAAGGCAAACTGGAAGACTAGCTCAGAATTAGCACAATCAGTTGACGCTTAGTTTTATAGTTGTTATAGAATAAGTAATAATTCATAATGCTTTGCTGGAGTATGAAATAGTACTCCAAGGCATGGTGCCTCTTTGAGGTCTTGCAAACAGTCCTTCGCTCACGGGAGGATGCGGCATTCGCGGGCTTCAGCTTGGGCACCCCGACCGGCATCCTGAACGACGGAGGGGTTGGGACAGACCTTTGTACCTTGGTGAGGTTTAGTTTTTGGGGCGTTAGAGAGCAGCTCAATTTGGATAACCATTGATGGAAAAATCATGTACCCCAAAGCCCTTGCAACCTGAGCTTTGTGGAGAAATGAGGCTTGACGATTGCCGAGAAATTGGCGACCTTGGACCTTCGCAATGCCCAGGCATCGAATCCCCAAGATCTCCACATGATCCAAACCTTGGTCGAGGCAATGCCCGGCGGTTTTGATGCCATGAATAGCTTCATACGCGAGTCCATCCGCGACTCCTTACTACTGGTGCGCGGGCGCTTTGAGCAGGACTTTAAGCAGGTTTTGGACCATCTGACACGGTAGGTCAGCCCACAAGCGGCATCAATTCGTACTGCTCAATGTGCCAGTGGGAAAAGACCGTTACACCTGCATACACCGAGCTCTCTCTCTCTCTCTCTGTCTCTCTCTCTTTCGCTCGCTCTCTGTAGCTGTACATACATTTTCATACACACACACACACACATATATATATATATGTATACACACAAATGCATACGAAGCTTCCCTCACTGCAAGGTGGAGTCACTGTTGCAGAGACCGGCCTCGGTCCGTGACGAGGTGGGACGTGCCTTCGCATGGCGGGCTTAAAGCTGAGGTGTGGAAAGAGGTTTAGGCTTTTTTAAGGCTTCTTGGGTGGGCTGTTAACTTTGTGGTGGCAGCTTCTAGTAGGTGTTGATGGGTTTTCTGGGGTTTAAACCCTACGCCCTAAGCCCGTTTCACTAGTTCTGCAGCCTAGCACCCTACATGAACCCCCCAAAATTCGAACCCCCACAGCCCTAAATCCCAAACATCCGGGCAGGCACAATAACGTTTGTGGATGTCTGTATGGACAATCTACAGTACATTTTTTGTACATGTATACATATACATATACTTATGTATATATATGTATATATACAGAGGGTAGAAAGATGGATGGATAGATAAAGACAGATAGATAGATAGATCGATAGATAGGGGCCTTAATAACGGATCGGGCTTTGGCGTACATTCTATCACACATACGATAGGGACGAACGGGATACTACTGCTGGCAAAGTTACCTACATAAGCTGCAACTAGGGTTTAGGCTTTTGGACTTTTGGAGTAATTAAATTAGGTTGCGGTAACTATGAAAGCCATGGTAGAACCCGATAATGTTCCGAGCTGGACTTGTTGGGAGAACTGATCCGGCTGGGCAGATCCTGCACATCGTGGACTTCCGGGAAGCTTTGACGAGAGTTTCTGTGTGCGATGAGCTCGTCGCATTGAAGCGACGTTTCGTCAACTACTACAGGGAAGTTGGCGCGCACATCAAACACAGCGTCCATGAGATGCAAGATGGTATAGCTTTCGCTCCTACTTTGTTTCCGATTCTTGCTCCGCTTATTGCAGGACGTGTTCAGCTATTGGTCCGGTGAGCCATCCAAATCTTTGTGGTTGTCTCAGGTCCACACCGACCTGGGGCAAACGGTTGACTGCATCCCCTTCTTGAAGCAGCCTGCTCTTCTGTGGGCTGGAGAAGAGATGAAGCAGCTAGATGTAGTTGGAATGGCTCTATAAGCTTTTAAGTCACCTGGCAAAAGAAGACTCGCAAGAAACCCTGTGCGAAGCCCGAACAAACTATCGAAAAGTCGGGTGTGTCAGATGCAAATAGGAGGAAGGACACATATCAGGGTTCAGTTGTGGTCAATCCTTCTCCTTCTTTTTCCAACTCGGTCTGAGTTTATTGCTTCGAAACATCACGCTGGCATTCCTCTGTAAGAAAGGCCCAGACATGGAACAGACGTTGCTGGCAGCACTCTGCATCAAGGAGCTCAGTTGATTTCCCAGCCTACTCACACCCACTCGTCGGACTCGTCGGGTAATCAATCTCGTTCGTACACCTACATGTACCACTTCTGAACAATGCTTTGCTTTTAGCACATCTAATGATTCTAACACCTGGCGGTTATGCGTGTTACTTGATGTTTCAATGCTGTTGCTGTTGCGTTTGGAAGCGTACAGACAATTTCTGCATCTACACGTTCTAGACTCACTGTAACATCCTCAGCAAGTTCTACTTCAACATGGTCACAACGAAAGCTGATGGCATAGCCTTTGTTCCCAAGACGTTCGATGCAGCCAGCATCCAGCTGCCGTGGGCCGTATAATACATATAAGATGACATATAACACAGGCGCGCACACGCACACATATACATAATGTATAGCACAGTAATAATACTAATAACAAGAAGAATAAGAAGGAGGACAAGAATAGGAATAAGAGAAAGAATAAGAGGAAGAAGAAGAAGAATATATATATATATATATTATAAGAACATATTAATATATAATATAACATATTTCACTGTAAAAAATATAATATGATATAATATAGTATAATATAATATAGTAAAATCTAGTATTTAAAATTTAGTATAGTATAATATTAAAAATAATACAATATAATATAATAGTACAATATAATATGATATTATACTATAAAATAATATATAGTACATACATACATACACACACACACTCTCTCTCTCTATATATATATATACTTAAGTATAGTTACTTAAACCCATACATCATTTACATATGTATATATAGATATACATATCAATCTAAATATGAATGTAAATAGAAATATGTATGTATTTACACATATACACACACACACATATATATATACATTTCTTTATGCATCGCACTACAAAGATGGATGGATAGACGGGTAGATAGATAGGGGCCATGTATCTTTTTGAGTCAGCTGCCTTGGATTGGCTGACGGCACTGAAACCACAGCTATGACGAAACTGCGATCATGCGCTGCTATTCTAGTGAACCCGCAACCTCTAAGCACCATCCTTCCACATCTGTGAGAGACGAAACCTGAACTGGTAGCGTCAAGGTACTTAGAGAGCCCCATCCGCCTGAGTTAAGTAAGGAATATTGTTCAACGCATAGAAGGAACACGAAGGATCCTTATAAAATAGCTCAACTTAAGGCTTGACTCGAAGTGTTCTGGTCAAACCGGTACAGCACCCTTTTACACTGTCTGAGATCCCTAAGAGGCTACGGAAATTGGCCTGTCTGGAAGAGCCCCAAACCGTAAGCTCGAACCGTACCTGCCATGCCTGCTTTGCGAGTGTGAGTCGAAACCGTAAACCCCCAAACTAAACCCGCATGCCGTCGTCACCGAGGAAAGAGGCCGTCGCATTGTTGGCGAAATCCACAGGCCAGTGGCGTCGAGGGAACGGCAGCCATGAAGTGCGCAAGAAAGATCTGTCTGTGTGTAGACAACGATATGTTAGTAAACATATATGTACAGCTGTAACTATAGCTGTATGTAAACACACACACATATATATATATACATATATATATATATCCATTCATGTGTGCATGCAAAAAAGCATGTATACGTGTATGTATGTGTGGCCGTGCGTGTGTGTGTATCTATGTATGCATATATCCCTGTGTTCCATGAACTAATGTATGTGTACGCGCGCATGCGTGCATGCATTCATGCATGCATGCATGGGTGGGCGGGTGGGCGGGTGGGTGGGCGGATGGATGGATGGATGGATGGATGGATGGATGGATGGGTGCATACGCATAGTAGCATATAGTGGCATTTGCTTCGTCAGTCCTGAGTTCTGAACAACACTTTGGAAGGGGACGTTGAAGATGCAGCAGGCGAGCAGGAAGCGAATGAGGAGCAGGTGCTTCCATGAAGACTTGAGCGAAATAGGTGAGGTTGGGGGTTCAGGCCATCGTTCACTGTCACCATGTGCGACTCCCATCTATGCGCTGTCTTGTTCATACAATAATTAAGTTTGCCTGTGAGCCTTCGAGGGTGCCAAACTTGGCTTGGCCCTGTTGTCCCAAAACAGAAACCCTAAACCCTAGAGGCATAAGCTGACACCAGGAGCCTGCAGAGCGTTATGGTTGTGGACCTGACGAAGTCCCTCTTCCGCGCCCGAGCCTGCAAGCTGCCTCAGCTGCAAGCTGGGATCTAAATATTTTGTTGTTATTAATTCTCATTATTGTTATTATTAGTATACTTAGATCATTATCATTATAGGTATTACTAGCATATACACTACTAGGGTTTAGGGGGGTTAACACCTTGGAACCGGTGGTGGTTTGCGCCTAGAAATGTAGCAAAAGATGCCAGTTGTTTGTGGTTGTGGACCTGTGGAGCTGTCAGGGCTTGTGCTGTAGGGTTTTGGGTATGTTTCGGTCGGAGAGTTCTGGACTGAGAAGCTGCTCAGAGGATGGGATTTCGGGCTTAGGAGATGTCTCCCAGAAGCTGAAAGGACCGTCAACTGGGCAGGGTTTCGGTGCTGAGGCTTTGCGTCGTGGACTCGTACAAGAGTTCCGCAAGACGGGAAGTCCCACGGGAGGCAGGCTTTTTAGGACTTCACGAAAGAGCACAAATCACACCATGCCGAATCGGCTAAGCCTACGTTCAGTCTTAGCCCGTGCCTCTAAACCACAAGCCCGAGCTGTTCTCAGGCCTTTGGCCGAGTGCTAGAGGCCACCAGGGCTTGGCACTGCTCCAAGTTGGCAAGGACGACTGCAGGACGATGGCCACTCAGTTCCTTCTCGGGACTATAAATAATCTACATGCACAATATTCGGTGTGTGCATATAATATTATATATATATACATATATATATATACATATATATATGAGCGTTCGTCAAAACTTCTTATTCATGGCCAGACCATGGATGATTTGGGGGGGTCC